ATCTACCCTACACACACACACACAAAAAGAAAAATAAAAAATAAAAAATTCAGACTCTATAAAACCGACTCCATAAAACACCGAAAAATAGCTTGGCGGAGGTGTGGAAGCTCGCTGACGACATGGTGGTGGTAAGCCATGTCAGCGAGGGTAGCCTCCTCCCCCGCCTCTTCGATACTGTAAATAAAATCTAATATTCAATCAAAAGCCAGATGCAATCGTGCCCCTACACCCTCGGCCTCGGCTCGCCGGAAAATCGAGCATCGACTATGACGCAATTTGCAAACTGGCTGAGATCCCTAATTTGAGAAATGTCCAACCGACGACGATTCGAAACACCTCGAAAATCGCCGTGGGTACGCGTGGCGAATATCCACCTGGCGAGAATATTCGACGACATCATCGAGAATATCCAACTACAATTGTGTATATAATGTATATGTTTTGTCAATAGACTTTTATAAAACTTCCACTCATTTTTATATTATGTATATATACAGTATGTATATATATTCTGTAGCATTTGTAACACAGGGAATGACGTCCAAGTGACTTGAATTCCATATACGAAGTAGTCTATTAAGGAATCCATGATGTTAGTTCATTCCATAAAATTTAAAAATTTACTTAGCAATTTAAAAACTAATTCAAAAAAAAAAAGGTCTCTGCATTTCTGTTTACAATACAAAATGTGTGTACACACACATACAAAAAAATAAGTAATAATAAATAAATAAATTGGGTTATGATGTGTCTCAAATATGAAATTGTATGTGCTCTAAAAATTTACAAGCTACTGTTTCTCACTTTTTCAATCCTCGACTTAATCGTAAGGATACGTGCCATCTTATAATCGAACGTACTGGCCACATTCTTTGACCAAAAGTTTAAATTTGTGGCCACAGAGATGAATAAAAGGATATGTGTCACTCGGACTTCTCCATTTTTCCCATTTAATGATTTCGTAATGTTTTTAGTTTTGTAGAATGGTACTGATGCTAATACCATAGGATAAAATAAAGTGGGTGTTCATCTGTCAATTTATTGTCAAATATTAACAGTTTATATTTTTAACAAAGTAATGAAACAAAACCCATAACATTCGTTTTTGGCTCTTGAATCTTGTTCGGGTATGCACCAAATAAATAAGAGAAATACCAATCCATTTTATAATTAAAAATAACAATTAACGAAATAAAAATTTACTAAAAGACTAAATACGTAGTAGGAATTCAATAACATTCAAACTTATTCAAAATTTGAGTTGTTTGTTTTATTTAAAATACCGTTTTAACTTTAGTGTTCTTTTCTAATTAAAATTTATCTTGTGAAAATCGGGGCACTACATTCTCTCTCTGATGAGTCTACTTCTATATCCGAAGAGAACTGGTGGACTTGAGCTCATATCTGCTTTAACCGCCTCTGAATCGTTGCTAGACCGTGAGAATACCTGCAAAAACTCAACGCCGGAGGTGTTTTCGGCGTAGAGCCTCCGACGCTCAAGTCAGTGTGAGAGAGATGTAATGAGGCTGCGCAGCAGCTATGAGGGAGTATGGAGAATGAATGAAAGTTAGGGTTTAGGGTTACTTCATCCTCTTTATATAGGAGTGAATGCTTACTTGAAGTACCTGAAATGCCCAAGTCGGTGGACCTAAAAGGTCCAAAATGCCCCGGTCGGTTCGTCTCCACTTGCTGCTGAGTCATCACAAGATTCTCCTTTATCCCTTTGAAAGATATAAAGCTTCAAGTGTGATGAGTCGTCATCACATCTTTAGTCTTCGAGGTATACAGAGTCGACCTCGAGAGCTAGGAGGTCGACTTATGATCATATGAGGATTCGGAGGCTACGCTCGGTTAATTCTCTCGAATGGAAGTCGTCTTCAGAGAATCGACTTAGTGAAGTCAACTTCTGGGAGTCATCTTAGGGTATCTGAATGGTCGGAGGCTACGCTCTTGTGGTTCTTATACAGATGCCGACTATTGGAAGTCGACAGACTGAGGTCGACCTACGAGAGTCGACTGACCAAATTTTTGCCTCCTCGCGGTCGTTCTTCGTAGAGTCGACTTTGGAAGAGTCGACTTGAGCATGTCGTCCTCATCATGTCGACATATAAGTGGTTCGGACGATTCTCCGGTCGAGTAGGGGACCTCTGGACAGGATTATCCTTATATGGCTATATCACTCTTTTCTCTTTATTCCATTTCATTTAAATTTAATTATCTTTCTATGTAAATTTGTAAATAAATTTTTTTACTATAAATATATATCTAGTTTATTTTTTTAGATTATTATTATAAGTTTATAAACCAATTAAAAAACACATAAATTATGAATAAACATCAACTAATAAGAATCACCAAAACAAAAAAATATGTCAATATACCAAATATAAACAATGAACAAACATCAAATAAACATTGAAAAATGAACTTGAAAATCTACTAATATACCAAATGTAAACTATGAATAAACATCAAATAAACTTTTAATATACCAAACATATAGTATTTGTATATCGCCGCTGCTCACAAACATACTGGCGTAGTATAATTTCGGTAACATATACCGAAAATATACTATAAATAAATGCAACATATACTGCCGACATCGCAACAAGCCCGAGCTTCCGTCACCGTCACCGTCTGGCATGACAAATTTGCCGAAGTTCTTCACCCATCCCTATCGGAACTCGCTCTTGAAGGTCGCACCCGACGGCCAAGAGAACCTCGGCCATTGCTTAGTACGAAGAAAGCATAAAAAGCAATATTGAATTCTGGAATTTGCTTGCCCCATCTGTGGGAAAAGTCCTTTTATTTCTCAAGAATTTCTAGGGAGAGTGAAAATGAATGTCGGGTGTCGGCGGCTGCACTGTCGCTGTCGCAGCTTCTGCCACCACGTCGAGATCGGTTCATCGCCTCTGTGCATCAACACCGACTTCGCGATTGGGGGTTTTGCCTGCTATAGGGAGGATTTTGGTTTTAGCCATAAAAAATGAACATAGGGTTTACTAATGAGGCGGTTGCGTTGAATGGATTGTGGGTTTTGGTCGTGAGAGAGATGAACATTGATAATGCGTGAAATGGGGGTTAGTTTTGATTTAATTTGGTAACTTATCCTAAAAAATCTGTGTAAATTGAATATAATATATTATTACTCCCTACATTGAAAATTCCGTATAATTAAATTTAAACAAATTTGTAATTTTGCTAAACTTTATTATTCAACTGTAAGATTACAAATAAATAGTTGTGCACTCGTGTTGTAAGTAATTTACTCTAAAATATATATGCTAGGGAAGGTAAAGTTGAGTTTGAAGAGAACAAAAGAATCATGAGGAATTTGCACCCCTTACTATCAGACGTGATTAATATTATACTTTTATCATCATTATACTCTTAATCATTAAATTACTAAACAGAGTCATAAATATTACAATTATACCTAAGATTTGCAATATATATGAAACCCCGCAGAAAAAAGAACCATCCGCCTTCTAGGTTAAGGAAAGCAAAAAATCCATGGCCGACATCCCTCGATTCTTTCACCTTTAAGCTTCGAACTTCGTTTAGACTATTCCCTATTAAAGAATAGCCGATTCCAATCACGTTTTCCGCTCTTCGATTCGTTAGTGTTTTAATCGGATTGAGAATTTCGTGACGGTTATATAGGTGATGGAAGCTGCCGGACTGCGGCGGTTCCTGGCCGAGATGCAGGGGGAAGCGAACTCGACGGTGGACGGCGCGCAGGGCCTCATCGATGGGCTCAAGCACGCACACTTGTTTCATAGACGGGGGGGTGAATCTGGAGGCGTTCTTCAAGTACTTGTTCGGGGATGCTAATCCTCCCCTGGATCTAAAAATCGGGTTTTTTTTTTCATTATTACTGTTTCGAGAGCGCCATTTATCATGACAGAGTTGGGACAACTCTGTAACTTTTTGTATCTTATATGTGCACTGTTTGTATCTTATAACTGAGGATATATGTTGAATTCTTGTTCATTAATAGAAATTCTATCATAGAATGCAGGAAAAATTTCTTTCGATTGTTTAGCTTTTGTAGCTTATAGCGCTTTTTATAAGAATTGATCCCCATTCTATTAAACTTCTTGCAGCACTTATGTTTGATTCTCATATCTACATTATATGTATGGTATATATTCAATATATTTTTTTCTACAGTATATCTACAGTATATGTATGGTATATCTATCAGTACTTATGTTTTCTTTTTTGTATATGTATGGTATATATTCAGTATATTTTTTATATATGATAAAAAAAATTTATCGCGAAAGCTGTTATAATATGTTTTTAAACTCTATATATGCCTTTATGTATAAAAAGAAAAAAAGAGGAAGATATAATTTTTTGATGGAAGACATTTTCTTCGATGCAACATATACTGAATATATACTAACATAAACGCAGTATATACCACCTAATAGCTCCATGAATTAAGAAATCAAATGAATCAGTTATTTATTTTTATTTCTCTATCTTATGAGTCAGCGAGAATTAAGGATGGAGCGTGTTTTATTTGTATGATTATTTATATGAGGTATACTTCTAATAAAATCCTAAATTTTAGGTATAGATATAATTAAATTTGATCCGATGGTAAAAATGCAATATATTACAATTCTTACTGGAAGAGTAAAAATTTCCCAAGAATCATCATTAACAAAGCCCAACCAAACAACAAAATTAGAAATCAGAAAACCCGATTTGGCCCAACTCATTCCGCCCACCGAATTTTATTAAGTAATTTTCTGAGCACTAGGGTAAAGATGTGAACACACCCGTCGTCGTCTGATTTTCTCCTCGTCTTAGAAATTGCTCGCATCTACTTTGCCTTATCCATTAAGGTACGATGATTTATCCATTATAGTCCGTATTCTAAATTTTTATTTAAGCTTTGTATGTTCTTCGAAGAAAATTCTGTTCGGTTCAAATCCCTAATTCGCTCTTTTTTTTAGTGAAGCTTGTTCTTGCAAGGAGTGTCATCCTAAAATCAAACAGCTCACAGATTTTGAGCCCGAGATTAAGTCCAAGAAAGATCTTGTCACGGTAAGTAGATTACGAATTAGCGAGCTTCAACCATTGTTAATTTCATATTTTCTTCTGTTTGTTAATTATTTTTTGTGGATTCCCCAATAGGATTTTGATGATAAGTTCGACAGAGAGGTTACATACTGTCTATCACTTTCTGACACGGCAAAATATTCGAGAATTCTGCTGGATATGCTCCACAGACACCTCAAGGAAGTATGCGAGGTAGCAATTGATGCCACTACATGTTGATGATTGAGCTGCCCGTTTACTCAATTTCTTGTTAAAATTAACAGTTTTTCTTGAATTTGTAATTGTGTCAGAAGTTGGGGGTTCCATTTACCATCCATTCAGATAATAAATTTGGAGATATTGCTGTCGAATTAGAGAAAAAGCTGGTAGATCATTGCTTGCTAGACGATGACGAAGTATATGAACCTGACGATAGATACTTACTTCGCCCGATTTCTGATAAAATGCCAAATTTGGTAAGATATGTAAATTCACGTACATTAATTTTCTTTAGTTTGTTAGTTTGGATTTTTTATAGTGCGCATATGGTTTAAATTAATTTTAACTTGCCCTTGGCTGGATTTTTTGGACAGTTTTTCCATTATGAGCTAAGCAAGGTGAAGGATGAGGGTTATGGCATCTTGGACAGTATTGCTAAGCTTGAAGAAGAACATGAGACGAAAAAGAAAGCTGCCCAAGAACATGGGGAAGTGCTAGACCCTCTGATCTCCAAAAAGTATATTGAGGAACAAATTAAGGTTAAATATTATCTCTCCATCTCTCTTTCTTGTTTTTCCCTTTTGCTTTGTTGAAATTGGGGAACTGAAAAACATGATTCTATTGGATAGAAACTGATCCTTAATATTGGCTGGTGAAGGAAGATAAATCGACAATTTCAAGCACCAACTAATACTATGCTATAATAAGGAAGTTTGCCTTGACAGTAGATTACTATATTGCGACATAAGCTATTGGTGACTGAGCAGTTAAAGGTATTTCTTTATGCAACAAAAGTTGGGAATTTCTGTATATTTCTTCTTTCATGCAAAGCTTCTCGAAACAGAGGAAATGAAGACTGACCCTTATATACAATTGTTTATTTATTTATTTATATTATCAATTGCTTTTGTGTCTTTTTGAGTAGAACACAATTTTCCCTTAACTTCGTATGTTGTTGCGATCTCCTCTTGGACTGTTGAGTATCCCCTTATCGCCATTTCACAATCACGTGGCTAAATTGTATTCTTTAACTTGACCATCCGGATCTAAAATATTGCCTGGTGCAAGCTTGTTATCATTGTCAATGTTAGATAATTGTTGTGCGGGCCTTGCGGCTTGTTCTTACTTTTGATTTTCTTCGTCAAGAATGATTTCACATGTAATGCATGATGCATTGGTGTGAGTTTGCAATTTGACTATTTGAAATGATGAGCTACTGTTCCCACTTGGTGAGTGATTTGAAAAGATCTGCAACATTTCATTTCACAGACTTGGTTTGTTTTCTCAACTTGTTGTGGCCGCCAGAGGGTAGAAAATAAAACAAACGCATGATTTGCATTCCAAAAAAAATATGTGTAATATCAATATTATGCAGTTGGCGGAGCAGTTGCCAGTTGAGGCATTGCTGGAGCATGCGACAGAGTTGATTCCTATAGCTGTCTCGGCTCCACTAACGAGAGTGATGGTGGGAGAAGTGTTGAGTTTGATAGATAAGACTTGCCGTGCTGTAGTTAGAGAACGGAATGTTTTTTGGCAGCAACATCATGGGGTATGTGTATGCGTGTTAGATATATAAACTAAATATCTTGTTAGGAGGCATTTAAGTAGATCTAACTTGTATAATTATTTTCACCAGTGTCTTTCCCCAGCCAGCGAGAGCAAAGGGCACCATTTGAATGGGTTAAATGAGACCCTGGACTCACTGCTCCACAAGGTGCGTCAAATTAAGATGTTGGTAATCAATTGTATCATATTATTATCTATCCGAGTATTATGTTTCTTTATAATACATGTTTATATATATATCAAATGGTGTACTCGATGATTAGGTTGATGCATTCAAGAACCAATGGGAGCAAAAGTATACCCAAATCTTTACTCCTTTTGAACATTCGGCCCGTAAAAGGCAACGGACAATTTAGTTGCAAGCTTTGATGGTCAAAGAGGAAGATTGGGTTTATGCTGACGGTGTGGAGGCTTTTTGTTGAAGTTCGGATGAATTGTTGTTTGGTATGGCTTTTTGTTGAAGTTTGGATGAATTGTTGTTTGGTATTTAACCGATAAGATGGATAGTGACCGCATGTTTTGTAAATGGCCACTCATTGTATGGTGTTTGAGAAGTTGACGTATGATGTGGATAGTTGGATACTGATTGCTGGTGGTTATGTAAATCACCATGTACGGCGGTTTGATTTTTGGGATGTTTGAAAACTTACGGCTGGTTATATTGGATAAATTATTTTGTTTATAACCTCAAGATTATCAAAGCTGTGCTTATATTTGTTGTGATTTTGCTTTCGATTAACTTCTAGAGTAATAAAATATTTATTTCTACCAGGTGTCGTGACAGCTTTTAAATCAAGTGGTTCACTATTTGTTTCAATAGTTTGAAATTGTAATCGTGTCAATTTCGCTTCAACACAAGTTTCACACTTATGTTTTTAACCAAATGGAACATAGGTATGCTTTTCAATTTTATTAACCTGTGCAGCGTATTATAGTTGTTATGTTCCAGTCTATCATTAGTTGTTATGTTCCAGTCTATCATTTCACACAATGGAAGACTCAATCATATAAACGGAAGAATTAACATTTTTATTGATTGTCATCACATCTATAGATATATAATCACTACTTGATGTATTTAATAAAACATTTAACAAAACCTATTTTCATTTTCCTCCAAAATGAATTCATTTTTTTTAATTTATTACTCAGTAATCTACTAAAACTGTTACACATTAATATATATATTTTTATTATTTATTTTTTGGATCAGTTATTAAATCAATTCTAAACTTGGGTACAAAATATTCAAATGTGTAACGGCTAATGTTGGAACTTAAAGTTGATTGACACATTCAGAGCTGTAACCACTATATTTGGTTGCATTGTTGGAATAAAAATATGATTGACACATATTTTTTTTTTTCTAAAAATCAGAAACACCAATATTTTTTTATTTATGTTAATTTTCTTAATATATGCCATAAATATATAAATTATTTTATTTATGTTACAATGTAAACGTTGCATGGTTAAAATAAAATTTAAATCTCAATTAATTTTGAATGATAAAAGTAACTTAAGAAAAAGTAATAATTTTTATACGATAGAAGTACATGTCTAATTAATAATTACAAACAAAAATGTGTTTTATATCTATGCAAATGAACAGGTTCAAATACTAGTTGAGCTTAAAAAGCCCATTACATTTATAACTTTTCCCTACAAATGCTCCATTTTTTGTCAAAATGGCCCTATCTGATTCAAACACCACACGAAAACCATGTTTGATCAACAAAGAACCAGACACTAGGTTCTTACGAATTTCTGGTACATAAAGGACATTATTAAAAGTCAATTCTTTTTCAGATGTCATTTTCAGTAACACTTTCCCCACTCCTTTGATGTCAGACGTGGCCGAATTTCCCATGAAGAGTTTTTCTCCATCCATAGTCTCGTCAAGAACATTAAACAAATCCTTGTTTCAGCAAACATGACGGGTAGCACCCATGTCAATCCACCATTCATGTGGATTTTGAGCCTACTAGATTCACTCCGGATATAACTTCGGCGAGGTGCATCTCATCAACATCCTTGGCCAGATTTTCCACCATGTGGGCTTCTTGATTTTTCTTTGGCAACCTGCAATCAGATACCTTATTGCTAGGTTTATTACAATTATAACAATTTACAGAAAATTATTTCTTGAAAATTTGTTTCTTTGGCCCCATTACTACCTTGTTAGTATTGCCATATTTTTTTTTATTATCTTTACGTGAGCTTTCACCATGCTCAACAACATTGATCTTGGCCAAAGAAGTATTAACCAGTTTGTTATTGTAGCCCTCGTTGTCTTCTTCAATTCGAAGTCTAACAACGAGCTCTTCAACAGTCATCTCTTTTTTCTTACGTAATAAATAATTTTTGAAATTTTTCCAGCTCGGTGGAAGCTTTGCAATTACGGCAGCCACCTGAAAAGTTTCATTCACCACCATTTCCTCTGAATGGATATCATGCAAGATTATTTGAAGCTCTTGCACTTGACTTATTATAGTCTTCGAGTCAACCATCTTGTAGTCCAGAAACTGGCCTACAATAAATTTCTTCGCTCCAGCGTCTTCGGTTTTGTATTTTTTATCCAAAGACTCCCACAGCTCCTTTGATGTTTTGATCGAACTGTAAACGTTGTACAATGTATCAACCAAGCAGTTCATCACATAATTTCTACATAAGAAATCTGAGTGATTCCATGCTTCAAGCGCACTAACCGCTTCAATATCCGGATTTTCCCCAAACTTTGGAGGATTTTCCGTCAAGAACCTCGCAAGGTTCAATGTAGTGAGATAAAACAACATCTTTTGCTGCCAGCGCTTGAAATTCAAGCCATTAAATTTTTCCGGTTTACCAGCATGATTTACCGGAACATTAACAGAAGGAGAAATAGAAATTGTAGTAGCACCACCGGTATTAGCAACGCCAATAGTATTTTGTTCAGCAACCATCTTTAATCGAAATTGTTTTAAGATTGTAGGGAACTTTATCGAGAAAATAAAAATAAGATGGTTATAATATATAATACCGAGGCCTGTGAGAACACAGTCTCCTTAAAACAGATTCGCCCCATATGAGCGTCTGTTTCCCAGGATACAACGGAAAAATCGAATTAAATTCAGCGAACTGGAACTATGCCTGGACCAAAACACTTAAAAGAAAAATTGGGGAATATTGTCTTTTCTTTTCTTCTCTTTCTTATTTTCGTGTGTCTTTTTTCAAAAGATGACAAGACATTTATATAGGCAAAGGTAAGCCATACTAATTAACCCATTCATTTACTCCAAGACTTGATATAGTTAAGTTAATGTAACATTAATAAAACCAAGTTACAAGAGTTTTATTAAAAGTGGAAGACACGGTTTCAGAATCAATGCTTCTGATACAAATTTCATTCACATTTTTCCAACAATAACTATGTAATTTTGTAAAAAATGTAACGATTTTTATAATGTGCTCGTCAATTCACGATATCGTGCATATGTTGTATTGTTAATATACAATATATTGAACTTTTGATAAATTACAAAATCATCACAATATTAAAATATAATCTAATAAAAGTTATGAAATTGCACAAAAGCCACTACAAATTATGTAATTTTTATCACAAAGTCCCAACACAAAAAAAAAGTACAAAACAGAAAAAAATTGAAATCACGCACACCACACATAATACGCACACAGTCGTCTGCAGCCGGCAGCTGGACGCCTACCACTGCCAGCCCCATCGCCTGGCCGTCTATCCGGCCAGAGCCGCCGTCGTCATCGTCTCACAACATGGAAATGAGTCTTAGTCACTGAAAAAGGAGCTGAGGCCGTAAATGTCGGGATCCTTCCGCCGTCGACGACCCCATTGCACGGCCGTCTTGTCTCGACGGAGCCGTCACCGCCGTGCCATCGCTGACTGGAAGCAGGTCCCCATCTCCTGTGTGGAGTTGTTGTCGTGGATGTCGGACCCGTCGTGGTGCTCGACAGAAAAATGGCCGCGCCGGATTGCAGTTGTCTGACTGACAGAGATGGCTGTGAATGTAGGGCCCGTCGTGGTGCTTGCCGGCATGGTGGCCGCGCCGGACTGCGGCATCAGAGGCGAGTGTTGTGGCGGCGGCTGGCTGGGTGAAGACAGATGTGAGTTCTGGCTCCAGCGGAGCTCCTAACGTCAGCCGCCGTGTGTGGTGTATGTGTGTGTGCATGTGTGTGTGTTTTTTGAAGACATAAAATCGGTTGGTGTAAGAAAGAAAGGGAGATGGTGATGAAAGATAAAACATGTGATTAATTGGTGAATGGGTCCCGCATAATATATGTATTGACCAATTTATCCTTAATTATTGGTCAAATGCACATATTTGACCACACTATAATCAAATAATTACATGAATCCCTTTAATGATTGACCATGATTTGACTTTATCATACTCATTGATATGATTGATCCTATGGTCCAAATTTATTCTTATTTCTTTCACTCTATTCTTTTCTCATTTGATCCTACTTCTATATATTATATATATATATATATATATATATATATATATATATATATATTCTTCTAACCTTCTGTGTTTAAACTCACGGAGAATGAAGGAGAATGACCTATTTTTGGGTTTCCATACCAAAGTATCTCCTAACATAATTTAAAGATTTTGCCATATTTAATAAACATCTTGACTTGGTAAGACTATATATTTAAATATGGGAATTGTAATTAAGAATTGATGTTAAAAAATTAACAATGTTGCATAGAAATACACATAAAAACTTTACGTAACTGCCAAGTATAAATCTAGAGTTTAGAAAAATACAAGTTGTAGAAAACATTTATACAAATACGTATTGGTTTAGTAAAATACGTGGAAAAAATAACTGCTGAAATTTGAAAACCGATAAGCCCGGCCATGTCAGCTTCTACATGTCTGAATTGAAAACCACCCTTGAAAATTAAACAGTCATTTATCAGCTAAAGTAACGTTTAAAAAAGTTTCGACAAAACAACAGAGAACATAACAAAAAAATGAACAAAAAACTTTATTAAAAAAAATTAAATGAGTGGTGATTGAAAAAATAAATAAAAAAATACTGATTGCATCCATAATTGAATTAGGAGAAGCAGTTGGAACTTGGAAGGTGTTTTCAAGTCTGTAGAAGACTTATCAATACGTAAAAAGATAAGTACTCCTTTTTATTAGTAATAATAATATGTGAAATATTAGTGTAAGTAATTAAATTAATTGATTTAATACATACACACACGCACACATATATATTATTTACAACAGACCGGATAAAAGAATTGAAGAATATGTCTTTTACTACACAAATCACCATACAACCAAAAAACATTTGATGAACAACTGAAAATAAATAAATAAATAAATACAACACCAATCCCCTTAACANTTATGGAAAACTGTACAAGCATAAAAATAAAAAAAGAAATAAACTAAAATAATTTTCTTGAAGCTTCAAATTAATCATGTTACAACCAACTAGAAACCAAAAACCAAGTTACATTACAGTTACAAATCCAACAACGTAAAAACAATATAAATTATACTTCACGAAAACAAACAAAAAAATAAAATTAAATAAATAAAAATACACAATAAAAAATCAACAATGAATAATAAACATAAATCAAATTAGTCACTGTAAAATCCCAGCCTAATTCCAGAATCCCAATGGCCGTATCAAGTTGAAACAGCCTCCGACCATGTTCAAGGCGTACGCCGTGGAGATTCTTCAGCCGGCGAGAGACAACTTCAATTACGATGTAGGCACGGTATGAATCGAGGGCCCCAAATTTTGTACGTCATCCCCAAATAGGAATATGATTTTCTTAAATTTCATAAACTTCAAACGGAGACATTGAAAGATGCAGAGCGGGGGTCTCCAATGGGCGAGAAGTTCACCGAAACTGGTATTGTTGTGATTCGTTTCTTAGGAGAGGAACTCAACCACCGTTGGTGGCCAAAAAAGACGGTGGAGGCTTGAATATTCACCCGAAAAAAACTGTTGAATTAGACGAAAATCCGACCCAGAGAGATCGCTTTATTTCCGGCACAAAAGCGTGATACAAAACTGGGTTCCCCCAAATTGAAATCTGATTTTTTTTTTCTTTTATACATGTTCTAGTTCATCATCCTTCCCTCAATACACACCAATGCACACACAAGCATGTATTCCTCAAACAATGAAGAATTCATACTCTAATGTCCTCCAATTCTCTCCGAATTTCGATAAAATTCAATTGGTTTTTAAATTGACAAATACTATAGTAATTTCAGAGAAAAGAATAAAATTTTTTATCAAAAAGAACGAAGGATAAAGAAGCAGAACGCAAAAAAAGAAGACGGAGAAGAAAGAGAAAGAGAGTTTGAACAGTTACGTCTTTTTAATATATGCCAAAAGATAATGGATAAATATGCATTAATTGCCTCGAAAACCCACGTGAATTGAAAGTCACGTATTTATAGAAAATGAAACGTACAAACAATAAAAAAAAAAATACAAAACATAAAAAAATAAAATAGGTTGCAAAAATATAAATAAAAAGTAAAACTGGTCATAATACATCATTTTCTCTAGAAACTTAGTGTAACATTTTTGTCTAAAAGTAAAATATATATGCTAGGGAAGGTAAAATTGAGTTTGAAGAGAACAAAAGAATCATCATTAACAAAGCCCAACCCAACAACAAAATCAGAAAACCCGATTTGGCCCAACTCATTCCGCCCACCGAATTTCTGAGCACTAGGGTAAGACGTGAAAACACCCGTCGTCGTCTGATTTTCTCCTCGTCTAAGAAATTGCTCGCATCTACTTTGCCTTATCCATTAAGGTACGATGATTTATCCATTATAGTCCGTATTCTAAATTTTTAATTAAGCTTTGTATGTTCTTCGAAGAAAATTCTGTTCGGTTCAAATCCCTAATTCGCTCTTCTTTCTCCTGTTTTCGCCAGCTCCCGATTTCAGTGAAGCTTGTTCTTGCAAGGAGTGTCATCCTAAAATCAAACAGCTCACAGATTTTGAGCCCGAGATTAAGTCCAAGAAAGATCTTGTCACGGTAAGTAGATTACGAATTAGCGAGCTTCAACCATTGTTAATTTCATATTTTCTTCTTTTGTTTGTTAATTATTTTTTGTGGATTTCCCAATAGGATTTTGATGATAAGTTCGACAGAGACGTTACATACTGTCTATCACTTTCTAACACGGCAAAATGGTCGAGAATTTTGCTGGATATGCTCCACAGACACCTCAAGGAAGTATGCGAGGTAGCAATTGATGCCACTACATGTTAATGATTGAGCTGCCCGGTTACTCAATTTCTTGTTAAAATTAACAGTTTTTCTCGAATTTGAAATTGTTTCAGAAGTTGGGGGTTCCATTTACCCTCCATTCAGATAATAAATTTGGAGATATTGCTGTCCAATTACGGCGAAAGCTGATAGACCATTGCTTGCTAGAAGATGACGAAGTATATGAACCTGATGATAGATACTTACTTCGCCCGATTTCTGATAAAATGCCAAATTTGGTAAGATATGTAAATTCACGTACATTAATTTTCGTTAGTTTGGATTCCTTATAGTGCGCATACGGTTTAAATTAATTTTAACTTGCCCTTGGCTGGAATTTTTGGACAGTTTTTCCAATATGAGCTAAGCATGGTGAAGGATAAGGGTTATCGCATCTTGGACAGTATTGCTGAGCTTGAAGAAGAACATGAGACGAAAAAGAAAGCTGCCCAAGAACATGGGGAAGTGCTAGACCTTCTCATCTCCAAGGAGTACATTGAGGAACAAATTAAGGTGAAATACGATCTCTCTCCCTCTCTCTTTCTTAATTTTCCCGTTTGCTTTGTTGAAATTGGGGAACCGAAAAACATGATTCTATTGGATAGGAACCGATCCTTAATATTGTCTAGTGATGGAAGATAAATCGATCATTTCAAGCACCAACTAATACTATACTATAATTAGGTAAGCTTTCCTTGAAAATCGATTACTATATTGCCGACATAGCTATCGGTGACTGAGCAGTTAAAGGATTTTCTTTATGCAAAAAAATTTGGGAATTTCTGTATATTTCTTCTTTCATGCAAAGCTTCTCAAAACAGAGGAAATGAAGACTGACCCTTATATACAATTGCTTTATTTATTTAATTATTTATTATTATTATTATTATTATTTTATTTATTAATTATTATTATCAATTGCTTTTTGTCTTTTTGAGTAGAACACAACTTTCCCTTAACTTCGTATGTTGTTGCGATCTCCACTTCGACTGTTGAGTATCCCCTTATCGCCATTGCACAATTACATGGCTAAATTGTATTCTTTAACTTGACCATCCCGATCTAAAATATTGCCTGGTGCAAGCTTGTTATCATTGTCGATGTTAGGTAATTGTTGTGCGGGCCTTGCGGCTTGTTCTTACTTTTGATTTTCTTCGTCAAGAATGATTTCACATGTAATGCATGATGCATTGGTGTGAGTTTGCACTTTGACTATTTGAAATGATGAGCTACTGTTCCCACTTGGTGAGTGATTTGAAAAGATCTGCAACATTTCATTTCACAGACTTGGTTTGTTTTCTCAACTTGTTGTGGCCGCCAGAGGGTAGAAATTAAAACGAACATATGTTTGCATTTCTAAAACATCATTTATCATGTGTAATATCAATATTATGCAGTTGGCGGAGCAGTTGCCAGTTGGGGCATTGCTGGAGCATGCGACAGAGTTGATTCCTATAGCTGTCTCGGCTCCACTAACGAGAGTGATGGTGGGAGAAGTGTTGAGTTTGATAGATAAGACTTGCCGTGCTGTAGTTAGAGAACGGAATTTTTTTTGGCAGCAACATCACGGGGTATGTGTATGCGTGTTAGATATCTAAACTAAATATCTTGTTTGGAGGCATTTAATTAGATCTAACTTGTATAATTATTTTCACCAGTGTCTTTCCCCAGCCAGCGAGAGCAAAGGGCACCATTTGAATGGGTTGAATGAGACCCTGGACTCACTGCTCCACAAGGTGCGTCAAATTAAGATGTTGGTAATCAATTGTATCATATTATTATCTATCTGAGTGTTATGTTTCTTTATAATACATATTTATATATATATCAAATGGCGTACTCGATGATTAGGTTGATGCATTCAAGAACCAATGGGAGCAAAAGTATACCCAAATCTTTACTCCTTTTCAACAATCGGCCCCTAAAAGGCAACGGACAATTTAGTTGCAAGCTTTGATGGCCAAAGAGGAAGATTGGGTTTATGCTGAGGGTGTGGAGGCTTTTTGTTGAAGTTTGGATGAATTGTTGTTTGGTATTTAACTGATAAGATGGATAGTGACCGCATGTTTTGTAAATGGCCACTCATTGTATGGTGTTTGAGAAGTTGACGTATGATGTGGATAGTTGGATACTGATTGCTGGTGGTTATGTAAATCACCATGTACGGCGGTTTGATTTTTGGGATGTTTGAAAACTTACGGCTGGTTATATTGGATAAATTATTTTGTTTATAACCTCAAGATTATCAAAGCTGTGCTTATATTTGTTGTGATTTTGCTTTCGATTAACTTCTAGAGTAATAAAATATTTATTTCTACCAGGTGTCGTGACAGCTTTTAAATCAAGTGGATCACTATTTGTTTCAATAGTTTGAAATTGTAATCGTGTCAATTTCGCTTCAACACAAGTTTCACACTTATGTTTTTAATCAAATGGAACATAGGTATGCTTTTCAATTTTATTAACTTGCGCAGGGTATTATAGTTGACATGTCCCAATCTATCATTTCACACAATGGAAGACTCAATCATATAAACGGAAGAATTAACATTTTTATTGATTGTCATCACATCTATAGATATATAATCACTAGTTGATGTATTTAATAAAACATTTAACAAAACCTATTTTCATTTCCCTTCAAAAGGAATTACATTTTTTTTAATTAATTACTCACTAATCTACTAAAACTGTTACACATTAATATATATATTTTTATTATTTATTTTTTGGATCAGTTACTAAATCAATTCTAAATTTGGGTACAAAATATTCAAATGTGTAACGGCTAATGTTGGAACTTAAAGTTGATTGACACATTCAGAGCTGTAACCACTATATTTGGTTGCATTGTTGGATGAAAAATATGATTGGCACATATTTTTTTTTTTCTTAAAATTCAGAAACACCAATATTTTTTTTATTTATGTTAATTTTCTTAATATATGCCACAAATATATAAATTATTTTATTTATGTTACTAATGTAAACGTTGCATGGTTAAAATAAAAATTTAAATCTCAATTAATTTTGAATGATAAAAGTAACTTAAGAAAAAGTAATAATTTTTATATGATAGAAGTACATGTCTAATTAATAATTACAAACAAAAATGGGTTTTATATCTATGCAAATGCACAGGATCAAATACTAGTTGAGCTTAATAAGCCCATTACATTTATAACCTTTCCCTACAAATGTTCCATTTTTTTGTCAAAATGGCCCTATCTGATTCAAACACCACACGAAAATCATGTTTGATCAACAAAGAACCAGACACTAGGTTCTTAAGAATTTCTGGTACATAAAGGACATTATTAAAAGTCAATTCTTTTTCAGATGTCATTTTCAGTATCACTTTCTCCACTCCTTTGATGTCAGACGTGGCCGAATTTCCCATGAAGAGTTTTTCTCCATCCATAGTCTCGTCAAGAACATTAAGCAAATCATTGTTTGAGCAAACATGACAGGTAGCACCCGTGTCAATCCACCATTCATGTGGATTTGAGCCCACTAGATTCACCTCGGATATAACTTCGGCGAGGTGCATCTCATCAACATCCTTGGCCAGATTTCCCACCATGTGGGCTTCTTGATTTTTCTTTGACAACCTGCAATCAGATACCTTATTGCTAGGTTTATTACAATTATAACAATTTACAAAAAATTATTTCTTGAAAATTTGTTTCTTT